CCCCTCCCTCCCTTGCCTAGCATGCATGAAGCCCTGGATTCCATTCCTCAGTACCACATAAACAGAAAAAGCTGGAAGTGGTGCTTTGACTCAAGTGGTATAGTGCTAGCCTTGAGCCAAAGAAGCTCAGGGACAGTGTCCAAGCCTTGAGTTCAAGCCCAGGACTGGCAAAAAAAAAAAAAAGACTCTGAGTACTACCAAAAGAATCCCCCTCAAAAACTGGGTATTAGTGCTTCATGCTATTAGCCTAGCTACTCAGGAAACCAAGATCTGAGATTTGTAATTCAGAGCTTTCCTGAACAGACAAAATACAAGACTCTTCTATCTAGTTAACCAGCAAAAAGCCAGAAATTAAGGTGTGGCTCAAGTGTTAGAGTAACATCTTTGAAAGAAACTCTTGAATCTTGAATTAAAGGCATATACACAAAAAACTTACAAGTTACATTCTAGAGATTTTACAATGCAAATATGAAGTATACACTTAAAATGGTAAATTAATATTTTACCACATCTATAAACTAAATTGATTACAGAATTAACTTATTCTGATGAAATCTGGATTCTTAAAATCTTGAAATAGCAGATTAAGACTGTTGGGAGATGTCCCTTCCTCCTGCTTGTTTTAGCTATGTAAAAATACTGAAACATATACAGAAAATTAGGACAGTTATTTCTTTACCTTCCTGACTCTGATTTTCATTTATAGATTGAACTATTGAAACAGCAATTGGTTGAGACAAAGGAAAAAGCTCAAGAGGAGAAGGAAAAGTTGGTGAGTATATGTATACTAATACTTCACTTATTAAGTGATTATGTTTCCAGTGAATTCAATTACCTAAGATCATTAAGAATAAGTAAAAGGGCTGGGAATGTGGCTTAGTGGTGGAGTGCTTGCCTAGCATGCATGAAGTCCTGAGTTCGATTCCGCAATACCACTTAAACAAAGTGGCCCTGTGGCTCAGGTGGTAGAGTGTTAGTCTTGAGCAAAAGAAGCTCAGGACAGTGCTCAGGCCCTGAGTTCAAGCCCCGAACTGACAAGAAGAAGAAGAAGAAGAAGAAGAAGAAGA